CACTATCCACTATCCACTATCCACTATCCACTATCCACTATCCACTATCCACTATCCACTATCCACTATCCACTATCCACTATCCACTTTCCACTATCCACTATCCACTATACACTATCCACTATCGACTTTCCACTGTCCACTATCCACTATCCACTATCCACTATCCACTATCAACTATCCACTATCAACTATCCACTATCCAATCCATCCTCATGGCCATTGGCTAAAATCACCAACAAAAAAAAACATTTAAAAGGTGATGGTGATGGACCAAACCTCTGTAGAGTAAAAAAGTAGATGTTAGTTCCACATTTATTGAAAATATATTTCGGTCTGGGTTGACCCTCGTCATTTCTAACGATATAATAACCATCAAAATCGAAAAAAAAATTGTTAAAAGCCACAAGAAAATAAACAAACAAAAAAGATTATTTAAAAAAAATATTGGGCTGTCAAATGGACATAAGGGAAACGAACTCAGATTAAGAGATGGAAAAAAGATAATTTGCAAATATTCACTTTAAAAAAAATGTTTTAAGACAACCTAACGTGCATTAACATTAAGCCAATTTTACCTTTTTCATAATATTTTTTGTTTTTGTTAATTTTAGGCTTCTCTTCAGTCAACATTGCATAATAGAGGGCGTAATAATAAAAGCAGGATTTTTTAAATTACTAATTTGAGTTAAAAAAAAAATTAAAATATAATCTAGTCAGCAAACTTCCTGAATTATATCCAGCATTGTGATCTTTTGGTTGTATACACAGTGATAACCAGAAAACTCTGGAATAGTCAGTCGACTTTTAAACTCAAGTGATGACTTTAGATAGTGCAATGAACATGAGGCACAACAATTGTGCAGTGTAAACAGACTTATTTTCTTCACAAGTGATTTGATAGCTTTCTAGTAAAGCTATTTGCTTTAAAACAACATCAAATGCACTTCAGTAATACTTTAATGTCGTCTTTCTATTCCATAGTTTTCTGGTTATCACTGTAGAAATTATAGAAATTATATATGTATCAAATAAATTCTCATTTTTAATTTTATAATACTGCACTCTCCGTTTAACTACCATCTTTAGCCAGTCACTCCCTTTACAACTTTTTAGCTACTATCATTCAATGAGTTAATATGAAACTGTAGTTTATGTTGTTGTTTTTATTAATACCCTTTGTATTAACGTAGAAATGTACAAACGAAAATTTTTTTACTTTTAAACTTGAAATTAGGCCGACAGTCCCTTTAAGATCATCTAGCAAAAAAAATTGTTTATATTTGCGGTTCATTGGGATATTCACTTTTTATCATGAGTGAGTTTAAATAGGTAATCAGCTCATCGCTCACATCAACCTGAAATATCAAACCGGTCTACAATATCGAGCTGCAAAGGTAAAGAGATTAAAAAGTCAAAGTTTACGGCAAGAAATTAGTTCCTTTCTGGGAGTAAAAGATATATTTTGATAATTTCTGTAAATGTTTTAAAATGTTTACCTTATCAGGTTTAATAAACATATCATCTATGCCAATAGTACCAATATGCTTGTAACCCTGGCTAACCATATAGGTCAGGACATCTCCTCTAAACATTTTAAAAATAATGAATTATAAACTAAAATTTGTTTTCAATAAAGTAATATAGGTTCCATTAATCAAGGTTTCCAATAATCAAGGTGTCCATTAATCAAGGTTTCCAATAATCAAAGTTTCTAATAATCAAGGTTTCCAATAATAAAGGTTTACAATAATCAAGGTTTCCAATAATAAAGGTTTCCAATAATCAAGTTTTCCAATAATCAAGGTTTCCAATAATCAAGGTTTCCAATAATCAAGGTTTCCAATAATCAAGGTGTCCAATAATCAAGGTGTCCAATAATCAAGGTGTCCAATAATCAAGGTTTCCAATAATAAAGGTTTCCAATAATCAAGGTTTCCAATAATAAAGGTTTCCAATAATCAAGTTTTCCAATAATCAAGGTTTCTAATAATCTAGGTTCCAATAATCAAGGTTTCCAATAATCAAGGTTCCCAAAAATCAAGGTTTACAATAATCAAGGTGTCCAATAATCAAGGTTTCCAATAATCAAGGTTTCCAATAATCAAGGTTTACAATAATCAAGGTTTACAATAATCAAGGTTTACAATACTCAAGGTGTCCAATAATCAAGGTTTCCAATACTCAAGGTTTTCAATAATCAAGGTTTCCCATGTTCATTTTTGTTACTTATTTAAAAAAAAATTTTTTACTAGATTTTGAAATTATAATAATACAAAGGAACTAAATCTTTGCATCCTAATGATGAAATCCTTTGATAATACAAACTAAGAAAAATTGAAATGACACAATGCACAGTGTGAAATATCTAAGGGTTGGAAAGATATAGGGATTAAAAAATATGAGTTTGTGGCAAAGCTTCAAATTCTTTTCACAGATTTTTCTGTTTTCATTCTTGGCGGATTTGCTTAACTTTGTATTCTGACCGGCCATAAACCTGGGCTCACACTAAATTCACTCGTTCAGGTTCTTAATTGTTGACATTTATTGATTACAAACAAACTAAAAATCAAAGAGACAGGACAAGTATAACCTACTAAGACCTTGTCTCTGTGTTGTCGAATTCTCCAATATGGTTTGTCTCTATTCCCACCATCCATATATCCACCAGGTGCCAAGGTATTGCTTTCAACACCTTGATAGATTGATAGATAGATAGATAGATAGATAGATAGATAGATAGATAGATAGATAGATAGATAGATAGATAGATTGATAGATAGATAGATAGATAGATAGATAGATAGATAGATAGATAGATAGATAGATAGATAGATAGATAGATAGATAGATAGATAGATAGATAGATAGAT